GCATCATGAATCTCATATATTCTTGATGACCTTGCAAATTTTAAACATGTGTTGTAGTATCATTTAAATCTAGCTTTTTCTCCTTTTTTCTTTCGCTTTCCCAATCTTTCCAACACGATGGTGTAAAAAACACTTGGTGCCATATGATGACTGGGAGCAATTAGATGGGTCTGGTCGAAACAGCCAGGCATGCTGTCAAGGATTAGGCAGGGTGTTGGAGGGGAACTAGACAGACACAGTGAAAAGAATCATAGGTGCAAGCCTCAGTGGAGCCTATGTTGGACGTGGTTAGAAGATGAAAAGAAGATTGAGAAGTAGTGTAGTTGTAACAATAACTCGGCTTCCTGCCCTAAAAGAGGGAGTATCAGTCAGCTCCGCTGAACACACGAGGATAATTATTACTCCAAAAGATTGATGATCTCTATTTATAAGATCCCAAGAGTACAGGTAATAAATTATTAAGAGTAACCTTGAACCTATTAGGAATACAACCTAATACCAGGGCCGGTCCTGGAATATTAAAGGTATTAAAGGCACTGTGCAAAATTAAATAAAAGGCCCTATATTAAAAAAAAAATTACATTGCCTCCATCTCAATGTTAAAGTTAAATCTTCCCTATTAATATTTAATTCATTATTAATACAGAATAATTAAAATTTACATATTCAGAAATAACATTAAAATCTCTATAAATTTCAAAATCCAATTTAAAATTTACTTAAAAATTGATATCCCAATAAAGTGAATAAAATGAATTTGTTTGACTCATGAAATTCAATTTTACAAATCAATTTGGGACTGATGGAGTAATTTTATACGAAGTATAATGCATGTAGTGAAAATAATAAACTTAAAAATACAAAAAGTAAGTATAAAATGTAATGAAAAACTTATTTTGATTGCTAACAAAAAATATCATAATAAAAGAAATCCAAGTTAATAAGAACTGTAACTATAAGGAGATGAAGAAAGTAACTTACAAATGTATATACGCAGTACGGTAGTATAGTAAAGTAATAATAGAAATAATACCGTTCTTAACTAACAAATAAGTACTCCCTCCGTCCCCTTTTGAACGTCCCGTTTTACCATATTGGGATGTCCCTATTTAATTGCCCCATACCTTATTTGGTAAACTTTGTGTGGCTCAAAATCATTCTCACTTTATTCTTACTTTATCAATTAATATCAACCACACAAACTCACTTTTCTTAAAACTCGTGCCACCATCTCCCGTCCCATTTAAAAGGGGACGGAGGGAGTATATACGTAGAGTAAGACAATGAATTGGAAGTATTGATTTCACTAGAGATATTTTATATTTGTTCAGCTAATGACCAAAGCATTTCAATCCGCTAACATGGTAAGCTGGTAAGTTGACTAACTTCTTGTAGACAACACGAGTTTGATTCCCCTATGCAGCGGATTTTTTGATTTGATTCAGCTAGAAGGGCTAATTACTTTAACTAATGGGCCTTCTGCCCAAATTGGGCCCTGTTTGACTGCACTGCCTGCACAGCACCAGGGCCGGGCCTGACTAATACTTATAACAAACAACCACTATTACTACTACTACAAAACTACTACTAATAATAATAATCATGATGATGATTATTATTGGAGGTGTTATACTGACAATGATAGATTGATAGGGATACTTCTAATGATAATGATAATGATACTTATAATGATAATGATTATGATAATGATGATGATAATGATGATGAAAGACTTGTTCCCCCATATCTACGTGATACCTAGATGGGATTAATTAGGTTTAGGCAGGATATCTAAGTGGAATTAGGATAATTGGGGCCAGTGGATTTTACAATGGAAATTGTAGTTGTCATCATGTTATGTGGATGTGATTCTCTTCAAGCAGTGAAATGATTTTGTTGCAGATTTCCCGGCACCAGCTCCAGCGCGGGCGACATATCAGGTTGCTGCATTGCCGATGAATGCCAGGATTGAAATTGAATGTGTTGCAGCTTTATTATAAGCACACATTAATTGGACACCTTTTGTCCTATTTCAGGATCACAGGGAGCTAGCTACTTATATATATATTGATAATTTATGATGACTGGGTAACATAATAAATGGAATTTAAACCCCTTCATCTATTTTTCTACCAAGGCCTTATTTGTATGCATTTGTAGTTCAATGCGAGTATCTTTGATGATTATTAATATTACCTAAAGATCAATTTTGCTTCATCTGGAAAGCTATAGCTTAGTGCAACTGAGAGTGAAATTTCCTTGATTTATTGAGGCATTGTTATTATCATTCTAGAAATTGCTTAATATAGGACTAAAACATACACAAAGTTAAAAGTATGGTTTATTTTCCAAATAGTATTTATTTAGTCATATTATAAGTTGATTTAAAACTTCCAAACTAGGAGTGAATGAATGTATTTTGGGAATAAATGAATGATAGCCCTATTTATGAACTTTATTCTTGCTTGTGGAATTTTCTCTTATTATTATCACACTATTTGCTGCTAAATTTTTATATTAATGTTGTTTTATTATACGACTTTTTTAACTGATGGACTTGACAGTGTTAATAGGCCTTTCCAGACCATAAAAGTGATACAGTAGAGTTAGGTTGCTCATGAAGCCATTCCCTATGGTCTCCTCCTCGAGAAGGGCTCCCCTTGCTAAAGTAAGGGCATAACAGTTCACAGACGACCTATCGAAATAGAAATTATCAATAAAAAAAGAATTTAGAGTGTCCTGAAAACTAAGAGAAGCTAGTAAAAAGGATAAGGTCAAACCAAACTAGGAATCTAGGATTGAAGTCTGTCCTTGGGGTAACTGGCTTTAGCTTCAGGTCTGAAAAACCAGGCACTTCATTCTTTAACCAACTCAAAGTCTCAAAGCTTCCACTATCGCCAAAGCTTTGGCCTCCCTGGGAAGAAAAGAGGCAATTAGGTATTTTCACATGATCTCCATCCAAAGCCCTTTCTTGCGACAAGAAGCACATTATGGCCCAGGTAACCTTGTGTCCTCATTTTGAATCCATCAGGGAAAACGACTTGAGCTTTGGAGGATCATTGAGAGACCACATTTCGGTCAAAGCAGGAATAGTTTGCTATAGGCAGGCAGGCTTCCAAGTTCCATTCCCTTAGCAATAGATGGTGGGTTGCTACCAGTGGCGTATCCACTGTGGGGCAGCGGGGGCAGCTGCCCCCACTCAATTCCAACTCAACCCCTATATATATGTTCAAATTTTTACAAGAAAATGCTCAAAAATAAGAGTTAAATGTAGAAAAAAAAATTCTAAAATAGGATTAAAAGTGTTTTCTTTAATATGAAAAGAATGAAAGGATAAAAAATTCACTAAATTTTGTTATGTTTAACTTATATTTAGGTAATTTTATTACATTTTATCTGCAATTACATCTTTACACACCCGTAATATAAATTAATCTTCTTTTTATTCATACTTGTACATAGATATTATAAACTAAATTTAATCAAACAATATTAATAATGTGATTTGTTATTTGTGAAATATGAGACTAAATTGTAGTCAAGTTTGCGCTCACTCGCCAAATTTCCTAGATACACCACTGGTTGCTACCAATCTTGTCTCTTTTTTCTTCATTACACCCTATCCATTAGTGCATGAGTGCATCAAAGGACAACAAACATTTGCAGAACTCGATCTTATCATCATCATTATAGAAAACTTCATCTTCTTCATTCATCATTCATTATTTATTTAAGGCATGCAAATTAGAGATAAGCAAACAACATAATAACCAGTGTTTTCTCCTTCCACATATTTTGTGACTCTCAACCGTGCAGTACCATCTGTTTTGCTCAAAGCGTCTAAACAACACCAACAAAATGTGCTACCGGGCAAGAAACTCCTATATAGTAAATCCGACATAGGTCTGTTACTATTATTTTGGAAAGAAAATATAAGTTATCCTATTTCAATTCTAATTTATTTTAGGAAAAATAATTTAAACTTCTCAAAAAAATATATATTTTATTTTAGGAAAAATAATTTAAACACCTCAAACTTTGTAGAAATGTGACATAAATACCCAAACTTGCATATACTAGTATAACATAAATATCCCGAACTTTACTAAGAAAGTTGTGCTTGTAGTACCTAGGGATGGACCGGGCCCGGGTCGGGCCATGGGCTGGACTGGGTTTGGGTGGTGGAGGCCCGGTACCGGCCCGGGTAGGTTCTGGGCCGGGTTGGGTCTTATATATTTTTTTTAAATTTTGGTTTTTGTTGTTTATTCTTACCCCCACCCACCCCCCAAACCACTCAGCCCCACCCCCAAACCACCCACCACCCAATCAATTTGAGAAACAAACACACATTTTGGGGCTGGATCGGTCCATAAAAACCCCAGCCCGTAGCCCACCGCCACCCCCCCCCCCACCCCCCGGTTCGGGCCCAAGGTCCGGTCCCGGAGAGCCGGATACCAGGCAAGTCCGACCAGGCCCGGTCCATCCCTACCGAGCACCATGATTATATTTTTTCTTCTGTAGATGTAAATTTAGAGTGTTAAGTAAATAATTTTATCAGAAGGTACAATTAACATTCTTAGCTTCTATTTAAAAATACATAGCAAATATTATTACTCGTACCTTTCATCTATATAATTCTAACAGTTTTAATTTGATATTTGCTAATACACTATTTTGACTATTAATATTGACTATTTGTAAAATTTATATAAAATTCATTTTTTGATACTTTAATCTAAGACAAAGTTTACAATATATAGGAAATTGCTCAATACTCCATACAATAATGAATAAAATAAAGTCAAAATATAGTGTGAACAATGTAAAAATCAATTAAATATGCTATATTGCTATTGGTGATTGGTGAAGGCCGAGATGTCGAGTGATGAAAAATATCAAATTAAAAGTGTTGCAATTAAATAGATCAAGAGTAATATTATTTATTTCACAATGGGAGTTTAGAATTGTAAATTTATCCTCACGTATGCTTAAAATCATGAGTAATATCATTTATTTTAAATTATGCACTTAAAATCATAAATCTACATTTACAACAATAACAATCATTGTGTTAAGATAATTTTGATTTAAAGTTCATGGTATGTAGTGCGCTGTATTAGTCCCCCCACCACCACCAAAGAAAAGCTTACCTCTTCAATGTGAGGCTGTGAGCTATACAGCTTAATGGAAAAATACATATAGACACTCACATTTTTGTCATGTGCGTGAAAGCTGGTGTACAAGATGTAAACAAACACAACCTCTATTCAAAGAACAACGGAAAAAATCTTCTTGTAAAACCAAAGAACAGAAGAACACAATAATTGTTTCATTTATATTCCTGAAAGTTAACATGCCCAGTTGCTTGTGCATGCTCCGTGGCCTCCTGCACAACAATTTGAACATGTTGTACATAAGAAACCTTAAAGATATAAAACATGGGAGACTGATAGAGACACACCCCACCTTCTGGCCAATAACCCCAATTTGACAAACCCCACACCGCAATGTGAAGTTGGAAGTATCAGTATAGCTCCTTTTCCTGCATTAGGTCAATTTAAGACTACTATGAGTTAACTCTCAAGAATCCCAAGTACAAATAAGGTAGAGAAACATATCCCCATTTCTTATTTATTTGGTTAAATAAGCTGATCAGTATGATTCCATATTCTTGTCTTTTTGGGTTCAGTTTTTTAAAACAAAAATCTGCTTTTCAAGAACTAAAGCAGTTTTTTACTTCTGAAAAGTTTATTTTTTGAATTGTTTAGAGTCAAGAGTGATATGCTTCTTCTTGGATTGGACGAGAGTATGACTTTGGGGCGAGCAAAGTGGAGGACGAATATTTGTGAGGGGGATTGATCTCTTTTCATTTTTTTAATCATTTTATCTTCTTTATACTCCCTCCGTTCTTTAATATTAGTCCTCTTAGGCTTTGGCACGGGTTTTAAGAAGAAAGTAGTAGGGGTAGTGTAAAAGGTGTAATGAGTAGTGGGTAAATGAAAAAGTAGGAAAGAGAAAGGGGTAATGGTAATAAAAGTTGGGGTATAAAGGTATATTTAGAGTAAAAACTTTCCTTAAATGGAAAGGAGGACAGATAAAAAAAAACGTCCCAAAAAGGAAAGAAGGACTAATAAAAAAGAACGGAGGTAGTATTTCTTATGTTCTTTTGGATGCGTGGACATACCAGAAAAGACCGTTTGAGGAATGAGATAATCAAACAAAAAGTGGGAGAAACACCTATAGAAGATCAGATGCAAGAGTATGGATTGCGATAGTTAGATCATGTGCGTAGAAGATCGAGTGATGCACCCGTTCGACGAATTGAGAGGTGGCGAAAAGAGGCAGGGGAGGGGGAGGAGAAGACCCAAACAGACATGGATTGGATGAGATAGCAAAATGGAGGACACAAATTCATGTGGACAATTGGTCTCTTCTCTCTCTTTTTCTTCGATCTTTTATCTTCTTTATCTCTCCATGTTCTTATGTTATTTTATCTTTTATCATTCTTATGTTCTTTAATCTCTTTTATCTTTTATCTATCTTATATTCAATTAGATTTTTATCTTATCCAATTTATCTTGCCTAATATTTTTAGGTTTCTTATCTTTCTTCTTAGTTGACCCCAAAATCTTTTGGGAATAAAGCTTGAATGTTGTTGTATCTTTCTTATGTTATTTATTCTTTTCTTCTTTTTATTTTACATATCTTTCTATCCTTTTTATGTTATCATTTTTATCCTTATCTTATATTTATCTTTATTTTTATCTTACCTTATCTTTATTTTCTTTTTGGCTCTGATATCATGTATCAATTCATATTAGCCTATTCCAAAATCTTCTGAGACTAGGGCTTGGATGTTGTTGTGTTGTTTATTTTTTGAATTCTGATTGTAAGATTTGTAACTTAAACTGCTTATGGCATACACACTATTTTTTTGTTGCTTTTGCTTTTGCCACTTTGGAACAAATTTCAACTACTCTTGTATTATTCGGACATTAACATTATATCCAAAGCACATATCTCTTTGGCAATCAAGTATGATTAGAACCATTTCGAGCGAAGCGACCCGGCCCAAATATAAACTTATCATATATCTTTGCGATTAGGATCAAGCCACGTATGAAACTCAGAGTTGGAAGCATGTTACCTTTGCTGATCTTTAACAAGATCAAGAGCGAGTCCTTCAACCGGGCCAATGGTGCGGTTCATCTGCACAGTGAAAATTGTCTGATCAAACTCCTCTGGAGCCTTTTCAGAAGGGGACATCTGTGGAATGCTTAACATTAGTTGATTTGAGAGATAATTATGACCATAGGGATAATATATACAATATGCCTATTTACAAGAAAAACTAATCAAGTGTCTTTATGGAAGCCAAGTAGCTGTGCAGGCTTTTCCTTCCCCTCTCTTGTGTTTGATGTTTCCCTTGAACTAATTGGAACTAATCAAAGTAAATCAATTACGAAGTGGGACTAACAAGAATATTTAGAAATTTGTCAACTTAGAATCCAAAAGATATGTTGATTCTCAACTAGAGACCTCAGGATAAAATTATCAATGTAAAACTTGAATGACTCGGTAGGTCTCAATTATTAACCAAATACCCACTGAATCTAACAACATGTTTGGTCCGTGTTTCCCACCAAGTATAAACTCATTTCATAAATAGTTTTTTCATGTTTATTTAAAGCAGCTTTTTTTATGTTCTAGTTTTCCACTTTATGTTTAGTTTTTCCATGTATAAGGATTGTAATACAAATGTCCATACTAGTATGGACAGGACTGCAGAATACCCTATTACTATCGGAGTGAACCAAGGGTCGACTTTAAGAAGACATTGTGATGCACTGATGCATGATGTTTACTCATGATATTGTATTGATTGATGAGACGCAATCTGGTGTTACATCAAAGTTAGAAATATGACAACAAACATTGGATAACAAGGGTTTCAGATTGAGTTGAAACAAGACGGGTATATGGAGTGCAAGTTCGGTGACGGTAGAAGCACTATAACTATGATAACTGATGGTAAGAAGATACCAGTCAGTGATATATTTAGTTACTTGGGCTCCATAATTCAGAAGATTGTGATGAAAATATCCTGTAGAATCAGAGAATCAGAAAATGGTGGTTGAAATGGAAGAGTGTGTCTGGCTTTCTATGTCATCGAGGTACGCAACTAGACTGAAGGGTAAATTTTATCAGACAACAATTAGAATATTGAGCGGTGAAACAATGTCACTCAAAAGATGAGTGACAGAGATATGCATGCTACGTTAGATATGTGGACATAGTATAAATGACCGCTTGAGGAATGACACAATTAAACAAAGGGATAAGGGCCAAAAAGGACACTAACGTTTTTAATAAATCTCGGATATGACACTTGGGTTTTTGATGGACCAAATAAATCCAATTTTAAACTTTTACCTTCATTTTTAACCATCCACTAACATTCCATTCAAACTACCGTTACCCAGCTAAATGAACCAAACAACCCCCAAGTCCACCAAGTGATTTATTCCAGTATAGCAGTAGCAGTAGCCCATTCTTTACTGAACATCAACATCGCCAGAATCGATTCAACAAACAACAGTACTATTATAGGTAAAGGGATAACCACCATTCCAACCAATTTGGGGATTACTACCACTCACAACCTCTTTCCTATTGGTACGAGGACAACACCCCTGGGCTCACACGAGTCCCGTCCAACACTGAACACAGATGGTTGAGACCCAAATATCAAATTAGGGACTTTAGCAGTCAGCAATTTCCTATTCCCAGGTATTTTGCTTCCAGACCTCCCCTCAAGTATGAACTCAGCCATATTCAACCAAGAAATCAACAACACACTACAGCCATAAATCAATTCAGGGATTTCGGCAACTAGAAATTGACCAATCCCATACAAGAAGTACAACCACATCCTGCTCACCGCCAACCACAACCGGAGCAGAGATATCCCAACGTTGCAGCTCGTACTCGAAAGTCTGGGATTCGGAAGAGCCCTGGTGCGAAGTCAAACAAAAGAATCGTCTTCCTCCTCTCCTCGCTCAGCCCAACACGAATTCTAATCGTTACCACTCCGGCAACGAATGAACTAAAGGGGCACATCGACCTTGAACAACCTTTTTTGCCGGAAAGAAAAAAAAAAGGTTGTTGGATGTATATTGGGGTGGTGGTGTTTAATCGTAGGGGAAAGGGCTTTTGACGGGAAACGGGTGTTAGAACAGAAAGTTAGTGGGTGGTTTAAAATTAGGGTAAAAGTCAGATTTTGTGTTTATTTGATCCACAAAAAACCTAAATGTCTTATCCGAGATTCAATAAAAACCTCGATGTCATTTTTGGTCCTTCTCCCTTAAACAAATGGTGAGAGTCGCATGTATCAAAGATATGATGCAAGAGCCTCGATTGTGGTGGTTTGGGCATGTGGTAGAAGATCAAGTGATTCATCTGTTAAATGAGTTGACAGGTGTGGAGAAGAGACACAGAGGAGAGGTACATGCAAACTCAAATATAAGTGGATTAGAGTAAGGGGTGATATGTTTCTTCTTGTGATGGACGAGAATAGTATGGCTTTGAAGAGAGCAAAGTGGAAGGCAAAAATTCATGTGATTATCTTCTTCTTAAGATTGATCTTATATCATTTTTTCCCTTTCATCTTTTTTTTTCCTACTTATATTCTTTATCCATTTATCCATTTTATTATGTATATTCTTTTCATGCTTTTTATCTTATCATTTTTATCTTTATCTTATATTTATCTGTATCTTATATTTATCTGTATCTTATCTTTTTTATCTTTTTTTATCATACCTTACCTTTTTCCATCATTTGCAATGGAGCCAAAGATTCATTATTTTTTGTCCTGAGAATATGATGAAATAAAGCAAAATGGCTCACTAAATTGTCTGCGCTTCTTTCTTATGAAGCAGCCGTCGGACTGCAATTTTGGACGCGATTTTCACTATGGGTCATCCAGAAACAGCATCTCTGTGCTTTAGCACAAGGGTAAGACTGCGTACACCCGACCCCCCTTAGCCCACCGTAGGTGGGGAGCCTTTGCGGCACTGGGGTAAATGAAAATGAAATGACCTTATCTTTTTCTTTTTTATCTTTCTTTTCGTTTTGGCTCCAATATCAATTATCAATTCATGTTAGCGGGTCTCATAATCTTTTGGGACCAAGGCTTGAATGTTGATGTTGTAGTTTTCCACTTTAGGTTGTTTGTAAAATTTCATCTAAACATGATGCTGGATCTTGAGGGCCTTTGGTTGATAGTAATACTTTTCTTTTTTTAAGGTGCTCAATTGAAAACAGATAACAATGGGGGGAAGAGGAGAGAACATACAGCCAAAGCATCATAATGGAGTCCATCATAAATCAGTAAAACTCTCTCAACATAATTATTTTCCTGCTCAATAATATGTAAAAGAAAGTGGGTTAAATTAAATATATAATGGAATTATGAAATACTAGAAAGTCATACGTCATGGCTTTGTAAGGGCTAACCTGCCCATACAAATCACACCGTGTGGTTTGTATATCATAAGCTGCGATTTCTCGCTCATAATACTCTGCCAAAATTGAAAGCTCTATGGCACCTACATATATACATTGTTAACAGTTCAGTCCGATCAATAATAAAACACTTGAACTTCTTTGGGAAAATGGAAACTAATAATCCAACCTTTTAGCGGTCTTCTTACAATAGTCCCACATTTTGATTATTCATGAATAATCCAACCTTTGCACCTCATCTTCATTCACTGGTCCCTGACCGGTTGATGACCTGCTATTCCAAGTTATTTTCTTATCTTTGCAAAATATTATCTTTGTGAAAGGTGAGATTTATGGTATAATGGTTTGCAAAGATAATAAAATAACTTGGAATAGTAGGTCATCAACCGGTCAGGGACCAGTGAATGAAGATGAGGTGCAAAGGTTGGATTATTCATGAATAATCAAAAGGTGAGACTATTGTAAGAAGACCGCTAAAAGGTTGGATTATTAGTTTCCATTTTCCCAACTTCTTTAGCAATAACACAAATTAAAGAAGTCACCACAATAGCCCTTAACAAAAAGTACACAAGTGTTTAGTGAGACTGAGCAATGAAACTAAACAAATATTCATCCTAGGGAATATGGCAGGCCCTGGATAGGGGATGATGAGGGCTATGGCTTCTAAAAAAAATTAATGCATTTGTACACACACATATACATACATGTATAAATACTTGAAATCTATGAATAGATGTTGAAATATGATGTCACCCCCCCAGCCCCACTCCCTTTATTGCTCCAAGAACTTCATTTCTGTCTAGATATTTCTTTTTATGCAATGAGAAGTGATTGGACACCATTTGAGGTGGGGAAATCACTGGAAATGAAGGGTATTACTACCACTTTACAAGAGTTCATTGGGTGCTAGTGTAATTGCATTGAGAATTGAATGACCTGTGTATAAAAGTACTATAGTACACACAGGCAACACCAACCGCATTCCTGTGGCCCGTATAGATCACATTTCTTATGGTTATAGAACATATGCCAATTAACCGAGAACCATTTTTTAATACACACAAACATGTGTATAAAATTTAATTTAAACAAAAATTGCTTCATAGATTAAAAAATAAGAACTAACCTTGGGCCTTGATGTGAACAAATGAATGAACGAGATCCAATTTTAAGCAAAGAACGTGGTGCCGTTATTGTAAATATGAAGACTTTAAATGAAAATACGGTAACAAAAGTATATGAACATATGCACAAAGTGTGTATGTACATCACAAAAATGCAACAAGATATAAAACAAAATGTACATAACTTATAAGAATATGATAACTTCTCTTTAACACTGAATACACTTGTATGTATACACGATGCACTTTAAAGTTCTACATATTTACAATTTTTTCATTGAGTCTTTTGATTAAGATTTCATCCAATGCGTCCACTTGAGATTGATTAAAAGCCATGATTATTCACATTTTTCATGGAGGACTACTTTCACTTAAACTTTCCACTATGTATATATACAACATCAACGCCTTAATCCCCTATGTATATATAGGGGAAGAAAGAAAGCTTGGATGAAATGAGAACATGATCTAAGGAGATAACTGAAATGAATTCAGTATGTTAGATTTGAGAATTTTGCATCATGCAAAATAGAAATGTGCAGTGCCATGAATCAGAAAACGCAGTGGTATCTTTCTAAATAAATTACACTGCAATATCTCAACCATAAATGTGCATCGCCATGAACCAGAATGTGGATCATTTTGAGGTTTTCTCGCGGGAAGAGTTGTTCACTACGCAATCGGACTATATGTATATTTATTTATTTATTTATTTATTTATTTATTTATTTATTTATTTATTTATTTATTTATTTATTATTTATTTATTTATTTATTTATTTATTTATTTATTTATTTATTTATTTATTTATTTATTTATTTATTTATTTATTTATTTATTTATTTATTTATTTATTTATTTATTTATTTATTTATTTATTTATTTATTTATTTATTTATTTATTTATTTATATATAGGGAAGGGTTCTAATGATAATCCCTTTTTAAATTAGAACCATTTATAAATGAGAACTTTTAATATCCACCTTTAATATTTCAAATCAAGGGCTAAAATCAACAAGCATTTGTATAATAATTTTACAATAATTACAAAAAGACCCCATTTGAATTTTGAAAAAATACACAAAGAACCACACGTGCATCCTAACAAATGATTGAATTAAATGAAAGGTTGCGATAAAAATTTCTCATCATAAGAAGTTTTCATTTTAAGAAGTATTCTCACTGGACTATGCTTATTGTGCAAACATTTGTACAATGCATCTTTACGCTATTTGTATCGCAGATTGAGGTTCAAAGTGTTGCATATTATTCTGTGGTGAAATAACAGTTGTATTAACGTTCGAAGAGTTGTGTTTAAAAAAAGTTTGATTTTATTACCAAAATGTCATCGCGCGACTCCAGCCCTTAGATCAATTCAATGGATGGCCAAGATGAGTTTGTAGTTTGTAAATTACGATGTGTTTGAATTTGATTCCTTATAAACACACACACACACACACATATATATATTCACACAAGTGTAACACATACCGCCCCATTTATCTGGACTAAGGATCCATTCACAATATTCTTTATTGGGCTTCCCAAGAAAAGCTTCTGAATATTTTGTTGGGTCACTTGCAACCACCGCCGAAATGACCTTCGAACCGAAAAACAGTCATTGGAGATGATAAGCAAAACAATTTCACAAATTGAAATATGCAATTGAGCACTAATTGGGATTATGATGTTTCCCTGACATATATAAAAATTGCAAATGATTTATTCATAGTAGTGACTTCAATATGGAGTACTGATGTACTACAACCATCGATACACGACTAATATTAACTTTTATATTAAATTGTCAAAAGTAAAATCTAAACAATTTGATTGTAGAAATCATATTTATTACGGAGTACTATTTAAAATTGATGGATTAGGGTTTAGGGTAGATTGTTAAATCTTATATGTTAATATATATTTAAATAATTTAAACTTCAGGAAGAAGTTTATAACGAGCAACCTCCGGGATTTGTTGCTCTGGGGAGTGTGGTAAAGTTTGTCGACTTCGCAAGTCTCTTTATGGTCTGAAACAGAGTCCTTTTGCATGGTTTGGCAAATTCAGTCAATCAATTAAACAGTTTGGAATGATAAAAGGCAAATCAGATCGCTCTCCCTTTTACAGACGAACGAAAGCAAGTATCACATGGCTTGTGGTGTATGTCGATGATGTCGTGATTATAGAAAGTGGCAGGTATTTTGGCCCTTAATATAGTTATATTCATAGCCAGTTCCAGAAAAGTTTTAGGCTCATTGAAATACTTCTTGGGTATTTGAGGTAACAGGGAGCAAGAAAGACATATTTCTATATCAACGAAAATATATAATGGTTCCCAACGTGCAACTCACTTAAGAAGGCATGTCGTTTGAAGATCCAGAAATATATGTGAGTGTAGTGAGTCAATACATGTCATCTTCGACCATTGATCACTAGGAGCACCAGGACGTGATATTGTTTATCAATACCATGACCACATGAGAATAGAATGTTTTGCATATGCAGATATGCTGATTGGGCTGGTTCTAAAGATGATCGAAGATCTACATCGGGCTATTACGTCTTTTTTGTGGTAATCTTGTGTTTTGGAAGAGTAAGAAACAGAATGTGATTTCTCATTTTAGTGTTGAATCGGAGTATCGAGCTATGACACAATCCGCATGTGAGATAATATGGATACACCATTTATTGAATGAAATCGGATTGAAGACACCAATGTTTGCTCAGTTGTGGTGCGATAACCAAGCTGTTATACACATAACAAACATTCCCGTATTTCATTAGAGAACAAAGCATATTGAGGGTGATTGCCATTTTATTTGAGAAAAGATACAAAAAGGATTAATCTCTACCGGATATGTGAAGACTGGAGAACAACTTGGAGATTTATTCACTACAGCTCTAAATACACAGCCCCCTTCTCATTACTATTCTAAGCTTTAATTCTGTTAACACTTCATAACAAAGAAGCGCAGACAGTTTAGTGAGTCATTTTGCTTTATTGCATCATATTCCCCAGCCAAACAATAGTTATTCTTTGGCTTCATTGGAAATGATAGAAATAACTATACATTACAAAGATAAAATGATCCAAAACATATTCCCATATTTATTCTAATATATTTCATACATACAAAGATTTCTTAGTCAATTTAATACAAATAAATAAATGAATGAATTTGAGTAGATATTTAGAGTAAATTTATTGAGTTTTTTTCACTACACTTTATTACTTCCTATTTTCCTAATGTTTTCTTTCATCCCTCTATTCTATATTTAGCATTTTCTGAGTTCAAATAGAGAAATAAACAAAAAATGAAGTATATCCGTTCAAAGTTAGTAATACGGAGTAGAAATTGTTTAGAAATTCAATCAGTTTGAATGTTTGATGTTTAGTAACTGATTGAATCAAGGAAAGTTTAAATTAGTTGTCCCATAACATGTTCTGGATTCCACACACCATCTGAAGCAACCATTAAAAAAAGGGCAGCTGGGCATACATATATGTACCCGACAAGGTGGAGGTCCATGGAAGGATCCCACCACAAGGGTGCATAAGGATCAAGCATTCCCTTGTCTTTTTGACAAGAAGCCCCTCGCAAGATTTGAACCCTTGACCTCATGATTACACAGCAACACCGTAACCGGTGCGCCAAGTCTCCCTTTTACCATCTAAAACAATCATTAAATAGCAAAAATGGCTCATCATCAATATCACAAAATAGCATTACAGTACAAGTATGATTTGTGAGTTCTATACATAATCACAAAGTGCATTTCATCTCAAGACACTACCAGATGCAAAACACAAACTTATGCACATCACTTAAAACTTGCTTATTCATGAGACGAGGAGTAAAGTTTCACCTGTCTTAGCTCAGGGGCTTTATTCTTGTCACGATCCATGACATAACTGTATGCAAGACAAACAATGTGGGTGTATAATTTTGACACATAACTATTCCAAAATAAGATCGACTCAAGCAAAACAGTTTTATTTAATTATGAGGAAAATATATATGAAATAATGCGAGGGATAATACTACAAGCTTTCTAATGGACAAAACTAAGACCCGTTTTGAATTTGGACAAAAAAGAGATTGAAATACCCTTAATTACTCTATTGTTCTCCCTTCTCTGTCGTTCATTCTTCGACATTGTCTGATTTTCATTTCCAACACTACCCATAGCACCACAAGTCCTTCACCGCAAGCCACAGCAGCACATCCATTGCCGCAGCGCCTCCATCACCGTGACTGTTAGACCACCATAGTGAGCTTCTACATCGGCTGGCCAAACTTTCTTCTTTTCTTCTTGCTGAATTTTTGCATGGCGGCTGTGGCTGTGAATTCTACATTGGCAGCGAGCTTTTAATAGGCTGTTTCGACGTACTCAAGCGGCAATGAACTTCACTGATCCGGCGGATTTCAATGAATGGAAGCTATTGATAATGTCCAGAAGCGGCTAGGGTTCAGCTAGATTGATAGATCGGGGCTGCAGCGAAAAGGTAACTACTTGAATATTTTAGGGTAGGGCGAGTAATTGAGGTTTGGGGACCGGCAGTGCAGGGACTGGTGGAGGAATTGGAGCAGGGTGTTGTGGCCGTGCTGGGTTATGGAGGTGGGGGCGAAACATTGGCGGTGTGGGGATTGGGTAGGCGTGAGACAGGGGCTGGGGTCTGTGAAGGGTGGGTGGCAGGGGCAGTGATCAGAGGCGAAGCTGGGGAGGAGTTGAGGAAGGGTGCGGCAGCTGGGGGATAGGCGATTGGGGCAGGGAAGGGGCGGGGGAGTGCAGGCAATGGCAACAAAGGGGATTGGGGAGTGAAGGGTGATGGGCAATAAGTTAATGGTTGGAGCAAAGGGCGCCGAGGGTTCGCGACAGGTAAAGCGCTTATGGTCACTATGGCAGCGGTTGGTAGCAAAGGAAGTGACTAGGGCCGCTGGGATAGCTGGAGGTCACTGGGGTGACATGAGTCACTGGACGAATGTTAACGGGGGCAGTAGGTGATCAGAATCACTACAGAAATCACTGAGGTCATTGCTCACTATCGCCGGGTAGCTGGGGTCATTGGTGACTATCACTGGGTCACTGAACACTTACGCCGAGTCACTGAGAATGGTCACTCTGTCCTTGGATCCTGAGGCATTGGTCACTGGAGCGCAGGGTTACGGTGGCACCCGTACTAGTGATTAGTAAAACTTTTCGGTCAAAACCCGAATTATCTATATAGGACTAAAACTTTTTACAATTCCCAAAATATGAACAGAGCACGTATGAAATGACAGATCCGAGAAAAAGAAAATGGCTTATGATATGCATACTGCATACATGTCTTACTAATCATAATAGAAAAAAGATACGGAGTATGTCCTATTTCGGAAACAGTTTTTAGTCATACAATCCTAATTGTATCTATATATTTTACCCAACCGCATTGAAAAGGCAGCTGTTGTCTGATGGAATGACTCTTCTAACTACAATGCCTTCCATAGAACTTGCACCTGAAAAAGAAACAACATTTTCCTCACCCATGCGTTCATCAAGGAAAAACACCTAATAGAGATGATTCTATATCTAAATAACCACTACTTTTATAAGGAAAAATGATTGAACTTTTTTCTTGAAGAAAAAACGAATCGATAGGAAATGACGTGCTGACCTTCAGATGGCGACGATTATACTTTCAGTGGTTTGAATTTAGAGGAAAAGGAGAAAATAATTTCTTCTGCGGGCACAAAAAGCTGCAGCTGGAAGATGGAATTAAAATCTGATGAAGCACAGGGGAAAATAAAAAATGGCTCAGAGGGAACGGTTTGAAGATCTAACCTCACCAGAAAGCGAGAATTGATTTGCGTGACAGATGGGCATATTTCTGGCGAGAAACACGCCTTGTATTTATATGTTGATTTTCAAATCCCTTACACGCAAATCTTGCACGCATAAGATAAATTTGTGTCTTCTTGAAAACAATTTAAAAAATTTACGCATTGGTCAAAAAATGGACACAATCATAGAACACTCAAATAGGAGATGAAGATCCAGAAATAATGTATAATCATCATCATCGAACTTCACTTGACTACTTCGTATTAATATACTAGTTGTTTTTTGTGTTTTTGCAACAACAACTTATTTATAAGTTAACAACCCATAATTCTAGAGAATCTGGAAAATATTAAATTGAAGAATCTCCTAAGCGGGGAGTTTCGATAGTTAAGTTCTCGTTTAACATAAAATAAGTTAGAGTACCTTCATCCAAACAACAATTATTTATTACATTAACCTAGGTTCACCTTATTTATTTTCAAACATTATTTTATGCATAAACCTAGTTTCAATTAGGTTAACCTAGTTTTTATTAAAACCTAGGTTTATCTTATTGCACTAGGTTTACTTAAGTTCACTTTATCCAAACAGAGCATTAATCATAATTGATATTGACTATTGAGTGTGGTATTAACTATTATTTAGGTTGTGTTCAGTCATCCAAATGAAGGCTCTATCCCTTCTCTTCTCAATAAAGTGGAGATCAACTCGGAGCCTCTCCTCATTACTAATTGGCTCGAACTCTTCCACCCGACGAAATAGGACCACAACCTCAAATGGAACCCTTACTTCAAAGCCATAACACAAGGCAAAAAAGGTCTCCCCGGTCACCTTCCTCGAGGTCGTCCTAAAGGTCCTGAGTATATTGTTCAACTCTTCAACCCAAGTTGTCACGAGGGCTTCCAACTTCTGCGATCCATCGACAAGAATTCAATTGTTGTTCTCTAGTTGTCCATTTTCTTGAGGGTAGCTTACCGTCATCAAGCAAAACTCCATGCCCCACTGCGCAGAACTGTGAGAATGCCTTGCGATCGAACTGTTTTTCATTATCAAAAATAATTTACAGGGAACCTCGAACCTACAAAATATGTTCTTTCGTATGAAATTATTACATTGTAGATGTGTGATGCTGACGAGCGACTTGACCTCAATCTATTTCGTGATGTTTGTTATTCACCGCAACGATAACAAACTTCCGATTCCCAGACACGATCAACCAGATTTATGCCCCGTCTGGTGAATAGTATTATGGTAGGACCTTAAGGGGCATTCGAATTTTGTAAGGGAATGCATGCATGTCGAAGGACGAAGGTACCAAACTTTGTAAGAAGGGAATACGTGAATGTCGTAAGCGTGAAATTACACTTCACCCACGCCGATGCAGTTGTCGGTCTGGTAAGGTCGGGTCTTAAGTTCAGGGTGTGCGGTACTCGCCCACATGATTTAAAATATTGCAATATATATACTTTTTGAATGCTCAAATTTGGATAAACCTTTTTGTGAAAGATTGACACTTTTCTCTAATACGTGCGTTTTGGGATTAATGTCTCATGGCCATGGTACTATTTATTTTCAAACTACTACTTGTGATTTTGAGAACAAGTCTCAAATGTCCGAAAATACAAAAACTTGTTATATGTATGTACAATATTCTGCATACAAATGAAATAACAAATAAATAATTAAGGAAAAATGTAAGATTACTTGTAATCGAGCCCAACGTAAACGTTGTTTCCTTAAGACGTTTTTGTCCGACACACGTAGCAAGCATCTCCCAGGATAGAACGGTTCTTCGCTCCCAACGGGATTCCGGCGAACTCAAAGATGCAACGAAAGAAGAGAAAACATGGAGGATTGTGTGATGATTTTTCAGATGTCCCAAAATTGAAGACAAGGCGTGTATTTATAGCGCTCTGGCCAGGAGTCTCGAACCCAAAAGACTCCTATTAAAAGAAAGTTCATGACCTTTCTTTTAAAACGAATAGTTGTGTCTTCTATTTGATTTTATCCGAAAAGGAATAAAAAACGTAGCAAAAAAAATAATCTCCAGTCTGTAACCATACGGAGATGTCCGGCGAGACTCGAACTTGACCCAACCCGGCCGACTGATGGCGGCGGTGTGTGCGTGTTAAATATAATTTCACGCTTGTCTTTCCGGGAACAATTTCTCATTCATTTCAAATTGATTTATCACAAATAATATTAATGACCATAATATTAATTTGTAAAACCATTTTTCCAACAAAACTTTCTCTTCTTCCTCATTACACGCTCATCTGTTAGTGCATCATTTGGTCATCGGAGTCCTTCAAGAACAAAAGATGTTATATCATGGGAGACAATTGTTGTGCAAGCAAATTTATCTTAAGAGACACCAAGCATTTGTTACTTTGTTAGGTTCAATTTATCATCTTTACTATCATCTTTACTGTACGTTTCATCTTCTTTGTTCATCATTTACGTAGTATTATTTATTTTATGCATGAAGTTTAGACACACACAAGCAACCAAAATTGCCAAATAAGTCCTAAAATTAAATAAATGAACCACCTGATTGGCAAAAAATGTGCAAGTCCTCTTCAGCAGTTGACCCAGTTACCCTGTTCTCCAGTAGTCTATGCTGAGGAACAACTGAGTTCAAAATGGAACAGTAACGATATTGCATTCTTTTTTCAGCAGCACAAACACGGAAAAGGGAATCTCAATTCACAGAAAATTAATTAATCTGAAGACTTCATGAATCATTTAAATTAATGGTCATTCATTGGATACATAAATCTCTGATTCACTGGTAGTTTGAAAGAGCAGAAGGAAAAGAAAAAGAAATACATGCTTCTCTTTCCCTTTGAATAGTACTTGCTAGTTTGTTGGCGACAAAGGGTGGGTGGGTTTCACACATGGAACTCTCTCTAAATCTTCTGCTTCAGTACATGACGTAGTTGGATCTTCTGGCTCTCTGTTCTGGCCTCCAACAGCTTCGACTTCAAACTGTTCTTCTGTGTCGAATTCCTTGGCCACTCAATGCACCCTCCTTTCTTCATACCTTTATTTATATGATGAGGATTCCCCGACCCCACAGAATTGGAGGTGCTGACATCATCTTCTTTACTCCACTCCCTATCAGGTGACATCATGATCACACCTCCACTCATGTACCTCCCCTCGTTAGGATGCATGCCCCTCCTAAACACAGAAGACCTCTTCTTCATTTGCTGAGCTGGTGTTGAGCAGACTTCACTAATATCTGTTAATGGTGTGGACCCTGCCCCACTCCTTGACATGTTGCTCACAGTTTCCCACTCACTTCCTCCATCTTCTCCTCCATAACCGTCACTCTTGTTGGTGTAAGCTTTCTGATTATAGTGTCTCTGCGAATTTTGTTTTTCTTCTGTAAACGTATTGTCTTCAAAAACGGAGAAAATGTCATCCGGATTCGGTGGCTCGTATGTGAATTCTTCAATGTCGTGAATATTAACAGAAACTGCTATCTTCTTCATCTCCTCCATATCAGTAGGGTTAATTATGCCTTTAGAACACAAGAAGGACTCTAAATCTGCAATTAGTCTGTTCATCTGAGAATACTTCTCTTCGAGTGTCACCTTTGCATCAATTAGCTTCATCTGAACACGTTCCTCACGCCAAACCTCAGCCATTTGTAACATTCTTCTTTCTTCATCAACTTCCTCATGAAGTCTTTCAGATTCTCTCTTCAACACTTCTACTTCGGCTTTATCTTCTCCAATTTCTTTTGCTAGTTCATCACACACTTCCTCTATCAACTCCCTTGTCTTCCTTTCCTTCTCGTATTCCTGCATGTACCGTTTTGCAGTTACCTTAGCATCAGCCAGTTCATTGACCAGTTTGGAGTTTACGATTTCAACCCTTTGTCGGGCTTTTCTTTCTCGTGTCAACTCGGCTTTTGCGTCGTCCAAGATTGTTCGGATCTTCTCATGCTCTCTACTTCGCCAAATGGCCCTTTCTTCACTGACTTTCTTCAAGAACTGGTCAATCTTCTTCTTGTATGAATGCTGCTCTGTCTCAAGTTCTTGTATGCGGGCACGAGCCTGCTCTAGCTCTTCCTCAAGAAGTGACATCACTCTGGTTGGAGTGTGGACCTTTTGTTGGTGGCCATGGATATGTTTTGTTCCACCTTCGGCTGATTTCCAGCTGATGGGATCCCACTTTGTTGCTCCCTCCATTGCCGTGTTGGAAAGATGGAATGATGGCTCAACCTACAGAAGTTGGGACGAATGAATTAATGAAAAAAATAAGGTTGAGTTGTTAAGTAACACTGTCTTGGGAAAATAAACTCGCTTTCCCTGGAATTGAAGGGCCTGCTGGAACCTGAAGAATACTAGGAGAGAACATGGGAGTAAAAATAGAGACAAATATGAAGCGATGAAATTTGGGTGAAATAAAGATAGACAAACACTCGGACAAAATAAATTTATAAATCTTTTTTAGACAAACTTTCTAAACTTGTTTCATTGGTTCATTTTTATTATATTAAAATAAATATAATATTTATTATTTGTTCCATATTAAATTTTGGAAGTATTTTATTATTTACTTTATTTTCATTTTTGGTACCTCTTACCTTGATTTTTCATATTCTCTTTCCTTTTTTCCTACTTTTTCATCATCTTTTTACTGTTTGTACACCATTCACTACTTCACATTGAGAAAAGGGGCAAATAAGGCCATGTACTAACCAAAAAAGGTCAAATAAGGCCTTATTTAAGAGGCATTGTCCGGCCATCGCCATTTGGGGTGGTTCCCGGTGGAATTTTTTGATGAAATTTTTTGAGCATCTTATTCAGTAAGTCTAGTTTACTCATACCAAATTTCAGTTAAAACTTCAATCAGGAAGACATTCAAATGAATTCTTGAAGATAACTGCGCAGTTAAAAGCACAGTTATCTTCAAGAATTCATTTGAATGCCTTCCCGATTGAATTGTTAGCTGAAATTTGGTACGAGTAAACTAGACTTAATGAATAAGATGGTAAAAAAAATTCATCAAAAAATTCCACCGAGAACCACCCCAAATGACGAAGGCCAGACATAGCCTCATAAATAAGGCCTTATTTGACCTTTTTTGGTTAGTACGTGGCCTTATTTGCCCCTCTTCCCCTACTTCATTCACTACTATTTGGTCTTAATCTTTGTGGAAGCCCTATAGAGGCAACTAGATAAATAAGAGAGTATATGAAAAAAATTCAAAAAACTCTAATCATATCTAAGGTTCCATGGTAAAGACAAACATAA